CCCCCTGGGCATCTCCGGTACCCCCTGGGCATCCTCAGCACCCCCTGGGCATCCCTGGTACCCCCTGGGCATCTCCGGTACCCTTTGGGCATCCTCAGCAGCCCCTGGGTATCATCGGTACCCCCTGGGCATCCTCGGTACCCCCTGGGCATCCCCGGATCCCCTCGGCATCCCCGGTACCCCCTGGGCATCTCTGGTACCCTCTGGGCATTCCCGGTACCCCCTGGGCATCCCCGGTACCCTCTGAGCATCCTCAGCACCCCCTGGGCATCTCCGGTACCCCCTGGGCATCCTCAGCACCGCCTGGGCATCCCCGAAACCCCCTGGGCATCCCCGGATCGCCTCGGCATCCTCGGCACCCCCTGGGCATCCCCGGATCCACCGTGGCGAGTTCCAGGGACCCGGGTGTGCCCACGCTGTGCCACGGGCAGGGTGGGTGCAGTGCCAAGGATTAAATTTGGGGAGTTGGGACCCCCGAGGACAAGGTTTGGGGTGCTGGATCACCCGAAGGATGAAATTTGGGGAGTTCGGACCCCCGAGGACAAGGCTTGGGGTGCTGGAAGCCCGCAGGGTTTGGTTTTGCGGTTGTTCCATCCTCGGAACGGCCCCTGGAAAGGGAGGGATGCGGGAGGGGGACCAGCGCCCTCCCCCCGCCCCTCGGGGGGCTCTGGGCAGCGCCAGGAGGGGGGGGCTCTGCCTCCCCCCGCCCCAAAAGGCGGGCAGGACCCCGCAGGAGCCGCCCCCTCCCTGTGCCCGTGTCCATCTGGGACCAACGGCCGCCGCTCCCTCATTAACCCCAGCTCCGGGGAGACCCCGGCCCAGCTGCCAGCCACGCTGGGGGGGCTCGGGGGGGCTCTGCTCTGCTCCCCCCTCACCCCTCCATCCCAGGGATAAATCCGGATTTGCCATCCCAAAATCCTGGCAGGGCCCGACCCCTCCCCCTGGGCTGCACCCCTGGCCTGGGGGATGCTCCGGGGGTCCCTCCCAGCTCCGGGGGTCCCTCCCAGCTCAGCGCTGCGGTTTTTGGGGTGGTTTCTACCCTGAATTTGGTGCTCAGGGCTGCAAAGGAGGACGCTGAGACTCTTGGGGCGTTCCCAAATGCAGGAATCCCCCCGGGGTTTTTTGGGATCGGCTCAGCGGGTTTTTTGGGATCATCCCAGCTGTTTTTTGGGATCATCCCAGCTGTTTTTTGGGATCAGTCCAGCTGTTTTTTGGGATAATCCCAGCGTTTTTTTGGGATCATCACAGTAGTTTTTTGGGATCATCACAGTGGTTTTTTGGGATCATCCCAGCGGTGCCGCTCCGGGGACGCATCCAGCTGCAGATCCGTTTTTTGGGATCATCCCAGCTGTTTTTTGGGATCATCCCAGCTGTTTTTTGGGATCAGTCCAGCTGTTTTTTGGGATAATCCCAGCGGTTTTTTGGGATCATCACAGTAGTTTTTTGGGATCATCACAGTGGTTTTTTGGGATCATCCCAGCGGTGCCGCTCCGGGGACGCATCCAGCTGCAGATCCCATCCCCTCCCGTGGACGAGGAGCTCCAGGGCCCTAAATGGTTCAGCAAACCTTCATCCTCATCCTCATCCTCTCAGGCCTCGCTGGAGCAGATGTGGCCCGAGCCCACCGGGGCAGTTCCGGCCGGATCGGTTCCGGCCGGGATTAGGGAGGCTCCGCTCCCCAGGGCCCGGATTAAGGTTTAAAGCCGGGAGCTTCGCCTGCCGGGAGCTCAGCTGGAGCCGGGACCCTCCTCATCCTCACCAGGCTGGGGTGGATCCCGCAGGGATCTCTCGGGGCGGGAGCCAGGGACGGACCCCAAAATCCCGCAGCCACCCTAAAAGCAGCGGGGGTCTCTCGTGTTTCCCTGGGGTCTCCCGGGGGTCTCTCCGGGAGCTGGGCAGGGGGTGATGCCCGGATTCCGCGGGCAGCCGCTGCTTGCTGCTTCTGTCCTGAGCTCGGCAGGGGGGAACCGGGAAAAAAGCAAGAAAACATGGGGGGGAAAAAACAATTAAAATATTGGGGGAGCGGGGAAAAAAGCCAAGAAAACATGGAGGGGAAAACCCAAGAAAACACGGGGGAAAAAACCCAAGAAAACATTGGGAGAACGGGGAAAAAACACAAGAAAATATGGAGGGAAAAACCCAATAAAACATTGGGAGAATGGGGAAAAAACCCAGGAAAACAAGAGGGGAAGAACACAATAAAACATTGGGAGAATGGGGAAAAAACACAAGAAAACATGGAAGGAAAAACCCAAGAGAACATGGGGGAAAACGGGGGAAAAAACCAAGAAAATATGGAGGGAAAATCCCAATAAAACATTGGGAGAAAGGGGAAAAAACCCCGTAAAACAAGAGGGGAAAAACTTAATAAAACACGGGGGGAAACAGGGGGAAACCCTAGAAAACACGGGGGAAAACGAGGAAAAAGACCCAAGGGAAAACGGGAAAAACAACCAAGAAAACACAGGGGAAAAAATCCAATAAAACTTGGAGAAAAACGGGGGAAAAACCCCCAAGAAAACAGTGAGGAAATAGGGAAAAGCCCAAGAAAACAAGGGAAAAACGGGGAAAACGGGGAAAACATGGGGGAAATGGGGAAAACACGGGGGAAAAGGGGGGAAAACACAGAAAAAAGAGGGGGAAAACACGGGAAAAATGGGGAAAACATGGGAAAATGGGGAAAACATGGGGAAAATGGGGGAAAACACGGGGAAAACGGGGAAAACACTGGAAAAACGGGGAAAACGGGGAAAACACTGGAAAAACGGGGAAAACGCGGGGAAAACGGGGAAAACGCGGGGGAAAAACACGGGAAAAAACATGGAAAACCACTCGGTGCGCGCTCTTAGGGGAGCCCAGGGGACACCCGACCTTCCCCCAGGTGGGAGCGGGGACAAAGCCCCCCGAGCTGAGCCGTGCCGGGCGCACCTGGGCGGGAGCGGCGCTGCCTCAGGTGGGGCCGGGACCCCCGAGGGGCCGCGCCAGGCGAGGGGCTCCGGGCTGGGGGGCCCCGGGGGCTCCGGGCTGGCAACAGATGGCTGGGGGCAGCTTGCCCACAGCTGCCCCTCCTCTCCTGCCCTGCCCTCTCCCTGCGCCGCTCGTTTTTGTCTCGTTTCCCCACGCGGCGTCATCCCGGCATCCCGGAACTTCCCGGGGGCTTTAGTGCGCGTTTTTAGGAGCGGATTTTTAATATATAAGAGGTGTTTTAGGTATGCTTTAATGTACTATATATATATATATATATATCTATATACATATATATATCTATATACATATATATATCTATATACATATATATATCTATATACATATATATATCTATATACATATATATATCTATATACATATATATATCTATATACATATATATATCTATATACATATATATATCTATATACATATATATATCTATATACATATATATATATATATACACATTTATATATATATATATTATATACTTTTTAATATATATGCATTATACTTTTATATATATAATATACTTTTTAATATATATGTATGTATATATATGCTTTAATATACTTTATATATATAGATATACTTTTATATATATATATATATGTTTCAATATACTTATATATATGCGTATATATATTTTTAATATACTTTTATATATGTTTTAATATGCTTGTATATATGTATATGTGTATATATATATTTAAATATCCTTATATATATTTGTGCATATATATGTTTTAATATGTTTATATATATATTAAAAATATACTTCTCTATATGGTTTTAATATACTTACATATAGACATTTAAAAAATTTATTTACAATGTATAAATAATATACGTTTATAATATATAAATAATATTCCCAGTGCCCAGCACCGCAGCGCCCCCCGCCAGCGGCAGCCCCCCAGGACCCTCCCCCGTGGGTTTTTCCTCCTTTCTGGCCAGGAATGGGTGTAGGAACAGCGATTTCACGGGGCAAGGGGCTCGGAGTGAACCTGGGGGCAGCGGGGGCGTTTGGCACCATGGAGGGTGAGATTGGCACCCGGGGGGCTGCGGGGGATGGCAGCGAGGAGGAGCCGGGGGGGCAGGAGCCCCCCACCCCCGGAGCGGCAGGAGCCCCCCGCCCCCGGAGCTCCGGGCCGGGCTGGGGCAGCCTCGCCCCTGCTCTGCCCCGCCCGGTGCCCCCCGGCTGGCCCGGGCCACCCCGGCAGTGTCCCCAGCGCTGGGAGCCGCGGCTGGACCCTCAGACGGCTCCGTGTCACCCCCGTGTCACCCCCGTGTCCCCCCCGTGTCACCCCAGCTGGACCCTCAGACAGCTCCGTGTCACCCCCCGTGTCCTCCCCGTGTCCTCCCCGGTGTCACCCGGCTGGACTCCTCAAATGGCTCAGTGTCACCCCCCGTGTGCTCCCCGTGTCACCCCCGTGTCAGCGGGCTGGACCCTTCAAATGGCTCAATGTCACCCCCCATGTCACCCCCGTGTCACCCCCGTGTCACCCGGCTGGACCCCTCAAATGGCTCAGTGTCACCCCCCGTGTCCTCCCCGTGTCACCCCCGTGTCACCCCCGTGTCACCCCCGGTGTCCTCCCCCGTGTCACCCCCGGTGTCACCCCAGCTGGACCCTCAGACGGCCCCGTGTCACCCCCGTGTCCTCCCCCGTGTCACCCCCGGTGCCACCCCGGCCGCGGGGACACTCCCGGGTCCCCCCAGAGCCGCCCCCTCCCCGATTTCCCAGCGCATTTCTATAAATCAAGCTCTGGCATGCCCCCCTCCCCCGCGGCGGGGTTTGGGGGTCACCCGTGACCCCCGGCAGATGGTGCGGGGGCTCCCAGCGCTGCCCGGACCATCTGTCAGGCAGCTCCGAGCTCCCGGCCCCGCCGCCCTGGGACCCCCCGGCCGCGGCCCCGCCAGCCCCGGGCTGCAGGAGGAGGGGGGGGGG